CCAGGGCTAGAGGTGTGCTGGGCTAGGCAGGAGACACGCCACTCCCAGGGATCGTGACCCGCTACCACCGTGGCTTGTGGCCGGCCACCAGTGCCTAGAGACGGGCCCAGGACTAGCCCAGGACACACGGGAGCCCCTCCCTAGAGCCTGGCTTTCCCAGCCACAGGGAACGTGCTCTGGGCCCAGGAGCCTACCTCGGAGGCCACCTCCAAAGGCAGCTGTGGGTGACTCTGTGGTGACAGGCCGTGGTTCGGGGACAGATCCTGCCCTACAGCCTGGATCTGGGAAAGAGGCATGGAAGAGAGTCGCAGGCAGCCCACACCCACCTAATAACAAGGGAGGGCACTCCATCGTTTCTGTAGATGACTGAGACTCAGGGGATACTTGTCACAACAGCATAACCTATCAAACACTGACTGATACAAAAGGTAGCATTTACATAGCTTTTACAGTGGGCAGGCACAGTTCTGAGCGTGTTCCATGTATTACCTCACTTAATCCTCTCAACATTCCTGATAGGATACAGTAGCCCCCTCCCCCTTATTCAGGGTAGATACATTCTAAGACCCCCCAGTGGATGCTTGAAACCACAGATAGAATTGAATCATGAATCTATTATTTCTTCCTCTCTGTTCCGACTATAGATCATACCAACTTAAGCCTACCATTTTTTTTCTTGCCTCCTAAAGTCAAGAACTTTCACCTTTTCACTTAAAAAGAAGCATTTTATGGTTTCTTTTTGACATGTGGGACATATCAGAGTGACAGTAGGACTCTTCTTGCTCCTTAGGACCATTACATAAAATAAGGGTTACTTGAACACAAGAACTGACCATTTATCTGATAGTCGAGATGACTACCTAGTGACAGGTGGGTAGCATATACAGCACGGACACACTGGACAAAGCATGATTCTTATTCCTGGTGAGATTTCACCACGATGCTCAGAACAAGGTGGAATTTAAAATTCATGAATTGTTTATTTCTGGAATTTTCCACTTAACAGTTTCAGGACAAACCTCAAGTAACTGAGACTTGGGAAAGCCAAACGGAGGATAAGGGGGACTCCTATAATTCTTCTCACAGATGACATTAGTGAGGTCCAACTGGTTAAGCATCACATCCAGAGCAAGATGTCCTAGCAGGTCTGGGCCCCGAACCCAATCTAGCCATCTCGAGGGAAGCAGGGTTGTTCCCCACCCCCACTTTCCAGATGGAGAGGCTGAGGCTCCCAGAGAGGCAAAGCCACTTGCCCAAAGCTACACAGCATCCGCCCCTTCACGTCCTGTGACTTGCCACCAGCCATACGGAAAGTCGGGCCAGAGCGTGCCCCCGTGGAGCTCAGAGCCCCCCACTGCATCGCATCGCCCAGGAGGACCTGCGAGCCCCAGGTGTCCCCAGCACAGCTGGTGTCAGGGGCCACCCTCCGAGAGCCCCTGCTCCCCCTCAGCGCCCAAGTTTGCGATCCAGGAGCCCCTGGCCCTGCTCAGCGCAGGGGGAGAAGGCAGGGCGGCCCGCGCCCCGCCCCGGAGCTTCCTGACACTTGTGAATATCCACCGCTTCTGTGCGCGAGGGTCTGGTTCGCATTAGCACCCCAGGCCTGGTCGGATGCAGGGCTTGGGCTCCATCCAAAAAGTGTCCGACTCCAGGGGGCCCTTCTCACTACTTATCTAACATGGAACATCAAATGGTTTGATCTGCCAATTAGGCTCCCCAGGAGCTGCTAACCGAAAGCAGATGGCGGATACAGTCTTGCAGGGATGTGCGCTTCCCTCCCCTTCCCCACCCGGACACCTCCAGGTGGCCTCCTGAGCAGGGATCAGGGCAGCCGGGATGAGCCTCCCCACCTCTCCCCACCGGAGGGCGCTGCAGCTTCTGATGAGGAGGGAGCCTGGGGGCCATGGCCCAGGGGTCCCCGATCTCCTGCATCTGCCCGTCCTTCCCTCTGGGGCCACCCTGGGAGGCCCGGAAAAATCAGGTCAGCACCGGCCACCGGGTTGGGTCCCAGGCCTGCACAGAGGCAGAGGGATGGTGTGAATGACCTCAGCATGTCCTTCCTGACTCTTCAGTGGCCCCAACCCACCACCCAAGAGCCGTCCCAAGTAGCGACCCCCCAAACCCCGTTTCCATCTCCTCCCCCATCCCACCCCAGAGCCGGTGGGTCCCCAGGAAACATGATGTGGGCCAGCCCCAAGGCCACCACCGGCCCACACCAGGCCCCATCCCGGCTCACCTGGGCCTGGTGACAACTCTCAAGGGGTCTCCTGGGCTCCTTGGCCAGACCCTTGAGCCATGGCCCACACCCCGTCTCCTCTCGAAGCCCCAGTTCCTGGATTTGTTGGGCACTAACTGGTGCCAGCTTCCTGTGGGCGCTTCACGGTTTGGGTTCCACTTCAGGAGAATTTCTGGTAACTGGGGCTGTCCTCAGTGAGCCTCCCGTCACGGGAGGAGAACAAGAAAGGCTTGAGGCCCGAGCCCTGCGGCTTTAGAAGGCCATGTGTCCCCTAAGGTCAGCGGGGCTCCAGGGTTCTCTCCTCCAGCGGTGGTCCACGAGAAAGGACAGAGAAATGAGGTCATTATCTACTTTTTTCAAAAAAAAAAAAAATTAAACCAAAGCGTCAGAAGCAAGAAAAGAGAATTAAGAGATTAAAGCTCCCTGAGCCGCTGACAATCTGGTCCCAAGGGCGAGGGGGACGGGACACAGCCACCTCCAGGACCAGAATATATGAAGCTGCCCCCCCAAATCTCTGAACCCCCCCTGGGAAGGAAGTGGGGGTTCCAGGAAGGCCCCAGCAGGCCCTCCTTGGGTGTGTGATGTTGACCTTGGCCGTCAACTTGCCTGGACTGAGAGACACACCTAAAAATGGGTAAAGCCACCTCCTGGGCCTGTGAGGGCGTGCCCACCGATGATTGGCAGGTGGGTTAGCCAACGGGGTGGGAAGACCCATCCTGAAGGTGAGCAGCTGAGAGGGGTTGAATGGCACATGTCCAGGACGCTGGAAGTGGCCACCCAGAGGGGACGAGGCTCAGATGCCCAGGGCTGGGCTCTCCCCTCAGACCCGGCTGTCCTTCCTCTCTCAGCTCCCACATCCAGCCACTCCTGGAGCTACCTGGCTTCCTCCCACCCACCTCTCCTCCGGCTTCCCACACCTGCCCCTCCTCCGCACCCCAACTTCCCACGCCTGCCCCTCCTCCGCACCCCAACTTCCCACGCCTGCCCCTCCTCCGCACCCCAACTTTCCACTCTTCTCCGTCCTTGAAGTCTCAATGCATCTCCCCCAAGTCCTCCCTGGTCACTGCACCCACCAGTCACCTCCCTACAATCTGAGCTCCCTCCCACAGTACAGTCCCCGGCTGGGGAGACTTCCCATCATGCACAGGGGTTCCTGGACCCGCCAGGCAGGGCCAACCAGTCACTTCATCAGGATGAGGGCTCTGACTGTGGCTCCTGGGCAGGAGTGAGCCCAGGGGTGACCCTGGGTGAGCCCCACAACCTCTTCGAGACCTTTTGTTCCCACCATCTATAAAATAGGGACCATGACAGTACCTGGCCAATAGTCTGGTGGGGAATAGTGGATAAAGTAGTAAAATTCTTAGGAGGGAACCTAGCACTCAGTGTCACGATGGCGTGACTGTATGTACCACTGCAGCCAGCCCCTGTATCCGAGGTATGTGGCATTTGCATTGAGCTCGGTCCCACAGGGGATCCAGAGGTGATTTACAGTTTAGGGGAGGCGTGTGTAGCTTACGCAAATACCACCCACTTTACACGAGGCTTTGAGCATCCTCAGATTTGGGTATCCCTGGGAGGCCCTGAAACCCAACCCCTGTGAAGACCGGGAGATATACATCTGTTTCATATTTCTAAACGCCTCTTGGGACCTGGCGCCCAAAGCGGTACTGATTTCAGGGGGCCGTGGTGAGGGGAGCGGTTGGGAGCGGAAGGAGAGGGTGTCAAAGGTGATTTGCCATCAGGATTCATGGCGCACCTGTTCTGGTTCCAGAAGGAGGCCCGGGGAAGAAAAATAGGCGCCACCCCACCACTATGAAGAAGTGACTTTAAAAAGGAAGGCCCCCGCCCGGCATGCCAGTGACTCTAGCCAAGACCCCACCACCCACTGCCTTGAAGGGTGAAAGAGGTGAACCAGGGACCAGGAGGAGGCAGCCCGCCCTCCCCGCTGTCAGTCAGCTCGTGGAAGCTGTCTCTGCGGGGGTCAGTGCTGGGGTCAGTGCTGGACGAGCTGCGTCACTCCCGGGCAGTGCTGGGAAGGCCCACAGGGCACGCGGATGGGTGCTGCAGGGAGCTGGTTCCTCTCCTGAGCAAGGAACCCCTGATCCCGGCCCTCCCGCCTGCAGGCTGAGTGCCCTGGGCCTGTCACTCCCGCCTCTGGGCAGCACTAGAGGTCTGTGAGCCGAGAGGGGCCAGGCCTGACCCCTGCATCTGGGGAAGCCAGGGCCCTTCGGCCGCTGGAGTCCACCAAGGAGGGTGCTCCGTTGGGCAGACCCACGCCCCACAGCACAGCTTCTCCAGGATGCAGCATGCAGACGTGGCCAGGCCACAGCACGCTGCCTCTGTGGCTGCCCAAGGCCTGGGTCCCCCAGGCAGCAGCAGGGCTGTGGGGACCCTGGAGGAGGCTGACTTCCTACGGAGGCCAGCATCGCAGGCCGGGCATGGCGCACCCTGGAATCTGGCCATTAGAAGGCCACACGCTCACGCTGTCCCTGACGGTGTCAGGGATGGGTCAGTTTGCAGAAGGTGGCGTTTATTGAGCACCTACAACATCACCTCTGACCCTCAATGTCCCCCTGAAGGAACGCCTGTTCCCATCTGGAGGTGAGGAAATGAAGGCTCGGGACAGTAAGCAACTGACCCAAGGTCACGGAGCTGGGTGGGGGCAATGCTGGGACAAAGCCCTCAGGGTCCACCTGTCCTTCCTCAGGAGACCTCTGAAAACAGAAAGGAAGACGGTCCATTTTGCCAAGAGAGGTTTATTCCCAGACAATATGAAGCACCCTCTGTGCCCAGCCGTCACCTAGAACATGGAGGCCCGGTCTGGGCTCTTTGGGAAAGGGATTGACGCCAGGCAGCACGTGGGGGCTCGCACCACCCCAGCCCCCACCAGCACGGGAAGCTCAGCCTCCACATGACTGAGGGCAAGGGGCCGGAGCCTGCGGGTGCCCAAGGCGACCACCAGGTGGCGGCAGTGAGCCGCTAAATCAGACTTTGTCCTTGGAGACCCATAGGTCACCTTGGGTCATGTCTACTAGAAGCAAGTGGCAGCGCCTGACAAATGAAACAGCTCAAGGGGAAGGGACAAAGTGTGGACATTTTTAGGCATCCGTCCCCAAGTGGGTAAGCACGGCCAGGCTGCAGAGAACCCCAGAGGGATGCCAAGTGACGGCCACGTGTCCTTCTGAGACCCTGACCCCGTCTCCCCTGGCCCCGTCTCCTCACGGCAGACCCAGCGGCAGGGCTAGTCCTTCCTCATGGTGTAGCCCTGGATCATGCTGTTGAAGTAGGCTGCGGTGTTGCGCTCGGGGTAGAAGAGGATCAGGTAGCACTTGGGGCCGAAGTACCCCAGGGTGATGGCCAGGAAGTTGAGCACCGTGACCAAGACGTCCATGATGGTGACCAGCACGCCGTCGTGCACCGACATGAAGGTGCAGAGGGAGACGGAGGAGGTGAAGGAGAAGGTCATGCTGAGGGTGATGAACCGGGCCTCGTTGTAGTTGGTGGGCAGCTCCTTGCCCAGGTAGGCGAAGGTGAAGCCCACCACGGACAGCAGCAGGTCCATGCTGGTGTTGAAGAGCAGCCCGTTGCGGTAGTTGGGGTGGCAGGAGACGATCATGACGTGGTGATCCTCGGGGTCGGAGCGGACGGTGGGGCTGGTGCTGGTGCCCAGCATGTTGCCCACCACGATGGCCATCTTGATGGCCGTCATGAGCGCCACGAAGGCGTAGGGCCCGTGGTAGCGGACCCAGAAGCCGTAGGCCCGCGGGAGGTGGCGGGCCATCTTGAAGACGTACATGATCTGGAAGGAGCGCGCGGTGATGCAGGAGATGCAGACGGTGAAGCAGAGGGTGAAGAAGGCCTGGCGGCACAGGCACCGGAAGACCGAGGGCGGCCCCACGTACACCCACGTCATGGCGTAGGCCAGCAGCAGCGGCCCCAGCATCAGGAAGCACATGGGGCCCCCGGCCGAGCGCACCATGGGCGTCGGGAAGTGCCACCAGAATATGACCAGGGTGGCCAGCGTGCTGAGGAAGCCCAGGGCGGCCAGCAGGGCCACGAAGATGGTGGGCGCCTCGTGCCACTCGAGGAAGGCCAGCCGCCGCTGGAAGCAGGAGGTGTCTTTCCTGTGGGACCACGTGGAGCTCGGGCAGGGCTGGCACACATACTCATCTACAAAGACCCACAACAGCCCCGTCAGTGCACCCCGCCTCCGGGCCCAGCCCCAGGCCGGAGACGGTAAGGGCTCCCGCAGGCAGGGTCCACGCCGTGGCTCTCCCAATGCCCCTGAAACTCCATTCCACAGACGAGGAAACTGAGGCCCAGCCAGGCTACGTGATTTTCCCAAAGCCACACAGCACAGAAGTTAAAGAGGCAGGATTTGAACCCAGGTCCCCTGGACTCAGGGTCTTCCAACTGCAGTTCCTCCTGAGACCCCGCCTCTGGCGGGAGAGAGATCAACCTCCTCAAGGAACCCCTGGGTCAGCACTGTCCCTAGCACTGACCGCTGTGGCAGGCAGCTGGGCTGAAAGGCCCCAGAGAGAGAGCGGTGAAAACCAGCCCCTGGGAGGGGGCCCGAGGAGCCTGCCGGGAGCTCGGGGGACGAAGCCTCTCAACTGGCCGTCAGTGAAGCCAGAACACAAAAATGTTGAGACTCGACTCCGAACGGCGCTGACACTAAGTGGTCACAGAGGGGACATTCCCTGGTGTCTCTTGAGAAAGATGCTCATTCCTGCAGTCAGCGCCGGCCCTGAGCGGCCGCTGGGCTCCGCACCACCCGGGGGCACGCAGCGGCCAGAGAGCGGTGGGCGGGTGCTGCCGGGTCAGGGAGAGCCGCTGGCCCGCTCACCTGCGCACCGTCAAGGGACACTCTGCCTGAAGCCCCAGCCCGGGCTGTGTGCAGGGGGAGCAGGGCCCTGCGCTGGCCCCGGGCCTGCAGGTCTCATGGCTTCTCCCCGCCAGGTAACCAGGTCCCTGGCCTTGGGACCCACACCTCCCCAGGGCAGGACAGGCCCAGGCAGGTCTGTTGAAGGGTGGGACGGGGCAGGGGTGGGCTGCGGCCTGGCGGGGGCTGTACCTGAGGTCTGGTTGCGGAAGGTGCCCGGGGAGCAGTCGATGCACTCGAAGCAGCAGGGGTGGATGCCCACCGGCCTCTTCCTCTGCCCCAGCTCACAGTTCTTAGAGCACATGGACGTGGGCACCTGGGGGGGCAAGAGACCCTGAGACCCTTTCCCCACTCGGGGCCTCCCTGCTCTCCCCAAAGGGTGGGGTGCTCAGGGGAGGGAAGCCTGGCCCTCACTAGCAAAGGGACAGAGCCTAGAGTCGCCGTTGGAACTGCAGCTTTGAAGGACCCTCTTAGTTTTACCTGCCCGAGACCTAGTCCACCTTCCTCTGCTGAAAGCATTCAACTGTTGAGACAGAGACTCTCTGAGGTTGCTGAGAGGACAGGAGGCAATCTGGAGCTGCTGGCAGCCATCTTGTCACAAAGGGGACAAAGTACCCAAGAGATGGAGAGAGTGAGACCCTGGATCCATCCTTGCCTGAAGCCCCACAGCCTACCTCTAGAGTTTTCAATTGTGTGAGCAATAAATGAACTCTTTGCTACCATGATCTTCTGTCACTTGCAACCAAGACTGTCAGTGAGCACGTCCTTCCGGAGGGGCAGGGTTTCAGGTAGAGAGAAACAGGTGGACAAGGACATGCATGTTGCCTTCATGGCTGAGATTTCTAGAACCCAGAAGAATCCAGCACAGAGGAGGCCTCCAGGCCTCACGCATCGAGAGGACGGATCGAGTGGAAAGGAAACGGAAAGAGCGACAAGGTAGGGGAGGGGGACATGACCAGGAAGCTGCAGATGGTGGCAGTCGGCGTGTGCGGGCCGAGCTGAGGTTAGGGGAGCCCGTTCTGAACTCATCGGTGACACACCAACAATGTGGGGCGGAGGGAGGCAACCAGGGCTGTCAAGTGTGCGAGCAGCCTGCTGGGTTTGGGCTGTGTGAAGATCATTCTGGTGACAAATTAGGAGAGTGTCACAGAGTTCACAGAAGAAGAGCCCAGGGCCCAGCAAGGGGAGTCGCCGCCGAGGGACACGGGGCCGCAGCGCCCTCTCTGCTCAACTCTGAAGTCCGGGTCCTCTGAGGTCTCTGTCTTCGTGTTCCACCACCTGGCACATGACCTCACACGTGCAGGGATGTGTACACCAACACGCACACGCACACGCGCGCACACACACACACCCCTCACGCAGACCGACCACCGGGCAGCATCGCCACGTACCCTCTGCCCACTCCTACACCGGACAGCCTCTTATCCCCTCCCAGGTAACCAAATCCGTCCTGCCTTGTGCCCTGGAACCTCGTCCTGTGGTCATTCACTCGCTCAGAAAGCCACTGGGCACCAAGAATAGAGCAGTGACTAACGGGGACAAAGATCCTGCTCCAAGGGGACTTAGGGGAACAGAGACCCAAACATGAAGTGCGACAGACCACGGTTATAAATACCGTGAGGAAAATCAAAACCCTGCGAGGGGGTAGGGAACGTTGGGGAGCAGCCTGCGATGTCCAGTGTGGCCGGTGACAAAGGCCTCACTGAGCGGGTGATCCTGGAGCAGAGACCTAAAGAGCACATCCGGGCGCAGGTTGCTGGGAGACTGAGCCCTAATCCCAGGATCCAGGGATGCTGCCCCTCCCCCCTCCCCCCCACACCCATCAGGCTCCTGCACGGTAACCGGTAACCGAGGCTCATGCTGTCTGCTCACCTGCAAGGTGCCCAGACTCTACAAGAAAGAGTCTCTAGGGAAGCCCAAGGGACATGGGAGGAAATTTTAGCTTACGACCCACAGTACATAAAACAGTAAAAATAGCCTAACTCCTATCCAGAGAAGCCTAAAATCTCATACTAAAAATATTGACCTCAGTTCCTTTTACCTAGTCCATCTCGTCTGGTTTTCACCAAAAAAAAAAAAAAAAATCACAAGGCATTTAAAACAACTGATTAATTGGCTAAGAGCTCTACTTGAAAAAGTGGGCAAAACAAGAAATGATGAGTAATGTTGGTAGAAAAATGGAAATTCTAGGGAAGAATGAAAATGTAATGCTAAAAACAAAAAGACCCAAGAAAAATAACAGAAATATAAAGTGCCTCGGTGGGCTCATCAGTGGGCTTGAAGATCTATCAACGGAAATTTCCCAAACTGAAAAACAAAGAGAAAAACATAGGGAGTGGGGACCAGAATATCTAAGAACCAGGGAACAATTACATCCCAGAAGGAGAGGAGGTAAATAGTACTTGAGGTAATAGTGGCTGAAAATTTTCCAAAATCAATGACAAACACGAAAGCACAGATTCAGGGAGCTCAAGAACACCAAGCAGAATAAATACCAAAGGAACTACACTGAACACATTATATTCAAACTGTAATAACAAAGACAAAAATCTCAATGGAAGCCAGAGGGGAGAAATACCAACAAATATGGTTAATAGAAGAAAAGAAAGATATTTTATAATAATAAATACATAGTCCATCAAGAAGATACAGCAACTATAAAATAAACATGTATGCCCCCAACAAAAGAGCAAAAATACATAAAGCAAAAAAAAAAAAATCAGAATTTTGAAGGTATAGATGATTCAGCATATAATATTCAACAATAGGTAACTTCAGTATTCTACTTTCAGTAATTTACAGAACTAATCAGAAGATCAACAATGAAATAAAAAACTTGAACAGCACCATCAATTAACAAAAACCAAAGAACACCTATACCACTCTTCCTAAGAGCAGTGGGATACATAATCTTCTCAAGTGCAAGTGGGACTTGTTTGTGTGGGTCAGCTGCCAGTCACTGTAAGAAAATGCCTGAGAAAATCAATTTAGAAGGGAAAATATTTATTTTGGCCCAAGGGTTCATAGGTTTCAGTCCATGGCCAGCCAACTCCATTATTTTTGGGTTTGGGGGTTGAGGGACTAGGACATCATGGCAGAATGATGTGGTGGGGCAAAGCGGCTCATTTACAGGATGGCCAGGAAGCAAAAAGACAAGAGGAGGAGAGTCCAGAGACAAAGTATACCCTTCAAAGACCCCCAGTGACCCAGGTTTCCCCACTAGGCTCCACCTCCTAAGGTTTCCACCCACTCCCAACAGAGTCACCAGCTAGGGACCAAGCCTTCCCCACATGAGTCTCTGGGGTCACCCCAGATCCAGCTATGGCAGGTCTCCAGGACAGGCTGCATAGCAGGTCACCCAACAACTTTTAGTAAATTTAAAAGGATTGAAATTGTGCCAGGTATGTTCTCCAACCACACCGTAATGAAATCAGAAATCAACAACAGAAGAGAATTTAAGAGAATTCAAGACCTTAAGTAACACACCCCTAAACAACAGTGGGTCAAAGTGTTCACAAGGGAAATTAGAAAACACTCTGAGACTAATGAAGATTCAAACACAATCCACCTTCACAAAAAGACGACTGCGGTCCGAGTCCACTTACACGAGGTCACTGAGGTAGTCAAACTCAGAGACAGGGAGCCGGGGGCGGGGGCATGGGGGTCATTCACTGGAAACCCAAAGCTGAGTTTCAGCTTTGCAAGATGAAAAATTTTAGAGAGCTGTGGCCCAGACCCATCACTATATTGTACACCTAAAAATGGCTAAGACGATGAACTTGATATGTTTTTACCATAATGAATAACTTCAAAGATTTAAAACAGACCAAATCTTATGGGGAGCCGTGAGAATAATATTTGGAGAAGTTATAAAAATAAATATTCTTAAAAAGATGTCAAATCACTAACATTCGCTAGCTTATCACGCAGTTAAATTTACTCTGCTGCTCTCTGTCACAAGGTAGGCTGCGTGGAGCTTGGTCACCTTGACCTGGCAGGTCACCTGGTCCACGGTAGCCATCTTCATGCTATCAGGACCTGTGAGTAGGAAGTAGCCAGGTACTTTTTTTTTTTGGTATCAGGGATTGAACTCAGGGCACTCGACCACTGAGCCCCATCCCCAGCCCTGTTTTGTATTTTATTTACACCTGACAGGGCCTCGTTGAGTTGCTTAGTGCCTCGGTTTTGCTGAGGCTGGCTTTGAACTTGTGATCCTCCTGCCTCAGTCTCCCTAGCCGCGGGGATGACAGGCGCGTGCCACTGCTCCCGGCACCAGTACTTTTTATTTATGTCCAAGGAAGAGCTGCAGATGCCAGAGGGCAGAAGAACAACCCTGGAGCTTAGGGGACACCGCTTAGGGTCCCGTGGTCTGGGGAATGCCAGGCATCCTTTCTAAGGTGGGAGACTGGTCACCCCGACCCCCCTGCCGTGACAGTAGGGCACTTGGTGAACTGGTTATTTGGATTTGGGGAATGCACAAACTGCTCTTGGAAATTAACCTGAACAAGCTGTCCCCTCTTTACCAGGTGGTTCAGGGGCTCCCGGTTTCAAAGCACAGAAAGTCACATGCTCAGACAAAGAAAGCCCTGGCTCTGTGCCGGCCCTTAGGGTGGGACACCAAGCAGATGTGACCATCTGAGCGTGGATACGGGCGGACGAATCCAACCCCGGAGTCCTGCTGGGCTGTCCCAGACCCTGAGCACCTGACCCCAGGACGCCAGGGGACCATCCGCTTCTCAGGCCCGGGGCAGGGCAGGAACCACAGATGGAGACGGCAGAGAGCGGCCGTGGGCACGAGGAAATGCCTCGAGTTGGTGCCTGGGACTCCCGTGCCGGCCTGGGCTCCCTCTCCCCGTGGTCAGCCCAGCCCAACGCCGAACCGTCCCACAGCGGAGACCGACGCTGAGCCCCTCGGTGGTCCCGCCCCTGAGGCGGAGAACCGGCCACTCCTTCAGACCCCGGCCACCCTCATCCAGGTGCTCAGACTGAAGCACGTCCTCCCGGGACCCCACACACCTCAGGGGACGGGGTGGCGTGCCAAGGCTCAGCAGGCTGCCTTCAGGGTCACACCTGTGGGTGGGGACACTGTCCTGGGGGGTGAGGTACACCCTGAATGAATGGCGGGCGTCCAGGGCCGCGGCACCGGGAGCTGGGTCTGGCGGGCCCTCGGGAGGAGAGGGCACCCACCACTGTTCTCAGGGGCCCACTGTGGACGTGGCACGTCACCTCCGACCCTCCTAGACCGTAGGAGGCAGGATCCCCGTCCCCACAGGGGATGCCCACCACAAGCACCGCAGGGCTCTGCGGTCACCGCCTGGCATTCTGGGGTCCTCGTGCCAGTGAATGGCAAGCCGAGAAAGGAGGAAGTATGAGGGCCCAGAGAGGGGTGGGTGGAAGGGTGGTCTGGAGTCCGGGGCACTCACGGGGAGCCTTGGGGTCACTGCTAAGGCGGAGCCGCAGCAGGTGCAGCCCACAAGGACGAGGCAGCTGAGGGCTCAGGCCAGTGATCTAGAAGCTGTGGCACTCACAGGGGACCCCGAAACACAGGGTCAACTCCCACTGACTCCTGGCCAGGGGACGGCAGCCAGCAGGTCAGTGCTGCCCTCTTCTGTCCCTTGGGGGCAAGGTGGCTCCTCAGAAGGACCTGGGAAGTTGGAGCTTCACTGGCTCAGGCAGTGTCCAACTGGGGGACCTCACTGGGACTGACCGTCCCTCCTCCCTAGTGGACTCTCTGGCCTCTTCCATCCCCAAGGAGAATATTCTGGGCTCATCTCCTATCTCAGATTTCTGGGGAGACCCAGCTCATACAGGGGGAAGCAGGGGCCTCTGCCTGCTGTGTCCCCTTGAAGTCCTAACCCCCAGGACCTCAGTAGGTGGCCTGATGGGAAACAGGGTCACTGCAGGCACATTAAGTTAAGATGAGGACATATGACAACGGGGTGGTCCCTAACCCTCTATGACTGGTGCCCTTCTACAGAGGGGACATTTGGACTCCGACGCACAGAGGAGAACAGGAGGCCTGGCGAAGGGGAGATGGAGGTGGAGCGTCCACAGTTCAGGTTTGCCAGAGAGTGCCGGAAGCCTCCAGAAGCCAGGAGGGGCCCGCAGCCTCATGGCCCTGTGCAGGAACCAGCCCGTGACAGCTGAGCTCAGGCTTCCAGCCCAGGACTGTCTGCTTCCGCCCGGTGCTCGCTGCAGCCCCAGGGACCAACAAAGGTCTCCACCTGCCCACTCCCTCACAGTCCCCCTCGAGAAGCTCAGGAACCAGCAGCCCCAGACTCCTCTGGAACCAGGGAGAGAGACAAAGGAGATGCGTGTAGGTCCTGAGTCCCCTCCCCAGCTCCACCAGGCTGCTCTCTGTCTCACGGGCTCCTGCAGAATTCTGAGGGTCTCTTTTCCAAAGAGGGTAAAACAAAATAGCTGCAGATGGGCAGTCACCAGACACAGTCAAGGGCCTGGCTACCAGGACAAAGCAGGAGACTTCAAGGACAGGCTGAGCAGAGTTCTATACCCAGGGAAGCTCCACTGGGGACAAGCTGTGCGGGCTTAGGCAAGTCAAGCCACCTCTCTGTGCCTTCAGTGTCCTAACCCATAAATTGGGAAGGTGTTAGCCTCCATCCCCTGGGGAATGACAGGAGAACCGAAGTCCTTGGCGCGCACAAGCTCAGTGAAGTTTACTGGGCAGAGGCCCCTGCATCCCCCTGACCACCCAGTTCTCCATCAACAGGGAAGGAAGGACCCAGATTGTAGGACAGAGACCCCCACCCTCCCACCCACGCTGAGTTCTGGGTTCCCTCCTGATAAAAAGGGCCCTGCCACCCCAGCACAAGCGCCCAGGCCACCCCCTGGCGGTGCCCGGGGCTGACCGTGTTGTTGTGGGCGTGCCAGGAGATGTTGTGGATGTTCCTGAGCCGCCGCTCCGAGGGGTAGTAGGAGGCGACGCTCGGGAAGGGGTTCAGTGGCAGATCCCACCGCCACTGGATGACTTCCAGGCGCATGGGCACGTCCCCTTGCTGGTCAAAGAAGATCTGGTTGCCCAGGAGGGTGAAGTTGACCTTCCAGATCTTCTCGAGTAGCTGCAGCGGTCAGAGGGAGGGAGAGAGAAGCGAAGCCGGCATCAGTCTGGCCAGTCCCGAGCGAGGGCACCACCCCACCACCGCGGGCTCCACCCACCACCGCGGGCTCCACCCACCACCGC